ATACTTTTATTATTTATTGTTAATAATTTTTTTTTTAATACTCAATTGAGTTTAAAATAATATTTTACATGTTTAAAATTTTTTTTAGATGTGTAGATGAAATGAATTTCATCCAGCACAGTGTCTTGTATGTAACGGTAACTTAACCGTCAATTTAAATTGGGGTAATATAACAGTCAAAAGGGTTGTAATGATCTCAGTGAAATTCATTAGAAGAATGGAAAAATATATTGAGCAAACATTATAAGTTAAAGGTGTGGAAAAGTCTTAAGAATAATCATAAAGGAAAGAGGAAAGAAAGAAGAAGGTAGCAATGGTATATATAAGAGACAGTAATTTAACGAGATGCAAGGATTCTACTCACTGAGACTGTAAGCTAACTGCTAATTTAAGGGGGTTAATTCCTTCGGAGACAAGTTGGCAGAGTTATGACGAAAATATTCATAGCATTATGTATTTACGTTTACGAGAAAATACGGTTGCTAATAAAAATTAAAAAGTATAATTTGCTTGAGACTTTAAGAATATTTTTTATACTCTTTTTTTTTCAACTATTTATATCATATTTATATAAACTTACAATTAGGCTTTTTTTTTTTAATCGAAAAAAATATTATTTTGTTCAATGATTTACATCGAAAGAAAATAAACTTCAACAAAATGACATTTCTAAAAGCCATACAATAATGTTTTTTCAATTTTTATTAATAAAAATTACTGAATAAATAATTAATAACAATTATGTGCTATTTTAAATTATTAATTCTTACATTTTTATTTAGTAATATTGATTTTAATGTGATAAATAAATTAATAAAACACAATTTTTTATTTCATTTAAAATTGAGCAATTTAATTAATTTGAAAATAATTGAAAAAGAAACCTTTATTGTTTATTAATTTTATGAAAAAATTAATTTTTTATGGTATAATAGGATTAATAATACTTTGACACATTCGATTATCTTATAAGAAAGGAGATATAATACTCAAAGATATTAGAAATTCGGTATTCTGTAATCATTTCATTGCGCGTGTCGACCATTTTTTACTTCTTAAGATCCTTAGCACCTTTACCCCTAAAGATCTGTTAAATAATATAGAGACTCTTTGGTAGAGTGGTAATATTGTTTCCCTAATGGCGCTTAAAAGAAAAAAAAATCTCAAAACGACAATATTAAGGATGTGACTACGACGGAAGGAATACCGAGAGTACTTTCAAGTGCTCTTGGTTTATAAAATGCTGTTGAGGGGGAGATGAAAAAAGCCTGGATTCGTTTGTCCAATAGGGAATGAGAGATCCTTACTCCTTACTTCTTAAACTTCGGGTTAATCACCGTAAGACAACCGGAGAAATGAGCAAGACTCGACGTGAGAAAAAGGCTCTCTAAAAGTACAAGGTTTGGGTAAGAATAAAACAGGGTGAGACGATGATGAAGAGAAAGAGAGGATCAAAATGAAGAACGACAGACAGTGGTGGCATTTAAAGAAGTGTCAACGAGAGAAAAAAATGTTGGAAATTAAAGATGAACTTGAAGAGTTTAAATAAGGATGAATCTTGCTTTTTACTCCCTACTATCATCAATCTCCAATTATATTAACAGTTAAATCACTTAAAAATACATGAACGTAATTCATTCAAGTATTCTCAAAATTCCATTCACTTGGCAAAAATGTTTATTTAATAAATTAATAATTACCCACTAAATTAATAAATTGATTATTAATTGTTAAATTAAAAAGTAAGAATGATATAAAAATTATAATTTTACGATCATGGTATGAAAAAATAAGAGAGTAATAATAGGGTTAAGTTAAAGATGTAAATTTAATTTGGTATCTTTTTTCTGTAGCTGGTATATACATGTAGTTTAAAATAGAGTCTAGGGTAATTACGAAATTCAAATTAACTTGAAAAAAAGACCAGGCGTTGGATATTTTTAAGGATCTCACATCTTTTCTTTATTTTCAACCCCTTCTTTTCATAATGTAAGGTCTTACGTAACATATAAAACATCTACGTATAAGGTAAAAAGGGGACTGGCCAAAAGTATACTCAGATATTTACCTACTCGAGCTTTTAATTATCTCCGAGTCTGCGGATAAAAATAATACTAGCTATCTAATTAACATGGTTGCAGTATTCCAAGGGAAGGTTTTTTAGGGAGTTGGTTATATTTCAGACGGATTCATCTCTTTCTATAAATATATGAAAAGAATTGTTGTATTTTTTAATTGGATTAATTATGAATATTCTTTATATTTACACTCATTTTTCATTTAAAAATTATCATTTCCATATTAAATTATATTCACATATATATTTTAAATTATAACATTAACGACTATAGTACTTTCTTAATTAATAATTTTTATTATCTCAAATTGCTAGGTATTTTTTATTTTTTGTTTAAATCAAACTTTTAAATAATATTAATTTATTAATATGAATCATTATTTTGACGATAATGAAAATAATAATATATTTCATAGAGGCGATAAGCAGCTTATTAACATGATAACTAGTCGTAAAATATTTTACCTTAACTTCGGATACGATTGTTATGGATACTAAGATGGTCGGTGATAATGATAATAATAACTTGAAGATGCTTTTCTCTGTATTATCATGATAATTTGTTAGAAACAAACATTATATAATTCTACGCTTGTCGTGTTGGACTTATAAGGGGGTTGGTTAGACGCTTTTGAATGTTAGGAAGTACAGAAAGGAAAGACGTAAGGGGCGCATACGATATAACTATGCTTGAGACTTGGTAGTCAAGTTAAAGGCATAAGATCTTGTGTTTTGGACACTGTCCATTGTCTTCATATTATTTATTAGTTTAAATGTGTCAACATGGCGGTTGCTTTTCCTATAACCTACGATTTATAATCACTAAGACCTGGTGACTATTGTTTTCGTTATACCAATGCTATTTAACTTGTTAAGATTAAGAAATAGTCTGATTAAAAATTGATATTACCAAACAGCTAATTGATATTTATTTTTTTTTTTTTATTTTAATTTAGTTTAAAATTGGGTTAATAATTTGAGATATATTTATTTATGAGCATTAAATTAAAATCGGAGTCTTAATAAAATTGACTGAGATAGTGTACCATCATTGCGTAATGGGAATGAAAATCAAAATGATGAATTCTTAACGATGTCGTTTATTATTTTAATTTTCGCGGTGAAGCTATTTTACGATGGCTTTAGCATCTTTAAACTTTCATCTCTGACTACTATTCTCAACGGAAAGGTTGATTACTCCAGTTCAAGACAGCAAATTAGCTTCTTATTAGATGGATAATTATAAAATGTGTTTTAGTCATTTGAAAATTTTTATAAAATAATCAAACTACTGATTTTATTTAAAAAAAAAAATGACATTTCGTTTTTTTAACACAAGATAAATCTTATTTGTTTCTTTTTCTTTTTACAATAAAAATTCTTAATTTTTACTAGTTGGCGATAACTGTAAAAGATTCGTCCACTAAATTTCCAAATTAAAGAAGTTATTCCATTTGGGCACCTAAAGGGGTGTGAACGCTTTCGCGTTTGCATTATCTCGACGGAGGATGAGTTAAGGTCGTCCTTTAGAGAGGCTAGGTGAGGCTGAGAGGAGAAGGGAAGCTCTACGTTTAGACATTCCGCTACTAACAAAGATAACTCTATGCAATAAAAATGATTCAAAGTTTCCCGCGGCGGATGCCGGTTCCGATGGTAGAGCAGTTGACAATGGCATGTCTTTGTCTCCATGCCCTTTTCTGCCGTCTCTTTGAACGTTTCAAGCGCTACCTCGTTGGACCTCTCCCCCTTCATCGCGACACCTATCTTCCGGTTTAAAGTCCCGACGCCATCGTCGCGCGAGAAACCCACGCAAACTTTTATTATTTACGACTGATATTTCACTTGAGTCAAGAGTATTTTAATTCACCTATACTATCATAACGGAAGTCATATTATCATGTTAAATTCAACTCTTAAAAATGCCTTTTTATTATATTTTTATGAATTAATTCGTCAGATAAATCGAAAAATTGACAAAATAACAATCATTTCATAATAATTCATAAATATTAGTATGATGTTTTTATTTTATTTTATTATTTTTATAAGTTTTTTTTTTAATCTTTTTGTCTTTTCAACCACCTAGCTTCTCACACTATTTACTTTTTCGCTTTCTTCTTTTTCTCTTTATCCCTTATGATCGTTCGTACAGGGTCTGAATTTGCATTTTATTCGTGTGGTCCACGCAGTTTTGTTTCTCCATTCGCCCAATGCAAGGACATTTATTTTAATTAAATTACTGTGGAGCGTCGAACAACCCATTTCCTATAAATTATCCCTTTACCGCACTTTTGCGTCCACCAAAGCATTAGTGTAATTCGTTGACCCTTCGACTTTACTTTATTTGTATTTTTTTAAATTTACAATTATACTATATCTTTGAAATAAAATACTACTATTAATGTATCTGTCAAAATTTATGACTCTAAAATCACTTACATAATTTCACGATAATTAATCTAACAATATTACATTACGTATGAAATTTAATTTGAAAAATAATCATTTATCATCCCTAATTTAATTTTTGTATTTATTTAACTATTTTATAATTATTAATTATTATTATTTCTTAAGTTCATTTTGCTTATAATAATTAATAGTTTATTTATTTAGGAATTTTAATTGCAATAATGGCAAAATAATATTGTCATAATCAATAATATTGAATAAAATTCCCGCCTTATTCTCAACTCTAATGCGCATGCGCATCATTTTGTATTTAAGCTAACATTGTTTATGTTTCTATAAACGAATGTTTAAAGTAGTTATTCAATAAATCATTTATCATTACACCGTTTAAAAAGATATAAATGTGAATTATATTCAGTAACAAATTGGTGTTAAATTTCTGTTTTGGAGTTTAGAAATTCATGATATGTCATTCAGTTGTTTGATTAATAAACAAGTAAATAATTCTTACCTGATAGGAGATCGTAGATACATCAGTATTTTCATCTATCAATGCAAGATTTAATGTATGAATACAACATTTATAAGCATTCCAAATATATAAAATATCATCACGTATTTCCAAAATATTTTGAGTTTCTTTCTCACTTTTGGGTAAGCAATTTTTTAATTCTTTAAATAATTTGCAATCATTAAGCTTTAATGGATCAGTGCATGAAGTCATGATTATAAATTATTAAGTAAATATTTAATAATAAAACATATAAATCACTGAAAATCAACAAACTGTCCACGTTTTTCACAAAGCTACAACAATGAAGTTAGGTGAATGTCAATCTCCATTATACAATCAGTTTTCATGCACAACTGCCATCTGTCGGACATGATATGTAGCATTTCAATTTGAATAAATTGAGCTGCTTTAATTACCAACCCTATACGAAATGTGTACCAAAGTGCAATACAGTAATGAAAATTTTTATAATTAATTCCGGAATTATAATTAATTATAAATATTTTCTATAAAAATAATATTTCCACATAACTAACGGTCTGACTGAAAACGAACAGTGCTGATGATAAAACAGTTTAAAAACGGTGTTCTAATTATTTTTTGTATGAATATTAAATAATTTTGAACATAAAATGGATAATTGAAAAAAAAATTATCATTTTTATGATTTAATGATGATTAAATATAAAAAAAAAAGTCGACTAGGCCCCGGAGGGATTCGAACCCTCGATCTCCTGTTTACTAGACAGGCGCTTTAACCAACTAAGCCACGGCGCCTGTACATTGGGGTAAAAAAAAATCTATCTCATAAAATTTTTAACATTCAGAAAATTCAAAAAACTCGAAAATAAAGAAATTGAGAGACTTAGTATTTACAATTTGAATGAATTCTAATATAATCATTTTATTTCTCATAATACTATTAATAAATTGATTGAAATTAGAATAGCAAATCTTTTTGTTCCGTAAATTTAATATTTAAAAAGGATCTAAAAAATAAATTGTTTAACAAAAAGCTTCCTGCAATTACACCAATCGAAAATGCCATGAATTTGAAGTACACCTCGATTACTTGACTGTTGAAAGGATGTAACTTATGGTTACGCTGGGAATTGTCTGTTTATTATTAGGGAAGATAACATAGAGGGTTGAGATCTAACGGAGTATCTGTTAATTCAGCACAACACATTAAATTCCCTAAGGCTAGCACAGTCTTGAGACTAGTTTCTTGATCCATACCAAACAAAATCCTTTTTATTACATTTCTTCTCAGCTTTTCTTATTTCTATTATTCTGTAAGTTAATGATGATGATTATTAGTATCATTGTTTATCAAAGTATATTATAAATAAAGACAAAGGTAGAATAATTCGACTCTTTGTTGGTTAATATATTTAATTAATGTTTCTCTAAGTAATGACTGTATTTGATCAATGAAAAATAGCATATGTCTTGTCGTCGATTCGTCTTCTGTCAGCTAACACCTTTCGTCGATCTTTTCTTGTCGTTTATAAATGACTCACGTCTTGATACGTTAGATCTGCCGTTAAATTAACGACATCTCTATTTATTTTATTGTGTACTCTTGACGATTTATTGAAGTTATCTTTTTTTTTTTAATAAATCATTGGATTACTAAAACAAAATCAGTCATTACCAACATTCACGGATAATAATTTGATAATAAAATATAAATTCATCAGAATAAAATAAATAATTCTACACTAGCTACTTTGGATGAGTATCACGTGATTCAAGATTTTTACAAGCAGAAAAGCGGAACGAGGTCGACGACAAGGCTAACTGACTCGATAAATCAGAAGTCTTAATGAAAATGTGGTTCCGCGGGACGAACGAACCAGTGACTTTCATCCGATATTCTTCCTTCATTCCCACGTCTTTTTCACCTTTTCACCCTCTTGTGCGTTTCTTAGTTGAACGTTTAAATGAAATAAAAAAAGAAGAAAGATATAAACTGAGTACGGAAAAATATTCTCCTAAAAATATCAAGATAAGAGCCAACGACGACGACGAAGGAGTAGGAGGTAAAAATATAAGAGGTAAGGGGGATGTCGACATTGTCGTCATTCTTATAAGAAAAACAGCATGCAATTATAAAAACGCGAAAGAAATCGTTGATGACGTCTTATCCCTAATAAGGGTGAATGAATGTCTTATTTACTTCATTCCCTATTTTTAACTCTCTTTAATATTTTAATCAATCATTCTACTTTATTTTTTATCAATAAAAATTATAACATTTACCTAAAATAAGTCAGTCAATTTTAACAACAATATAATAATTAATTATTACTAACATTGAATGATTTAAATATTTTTAAATTTCGAAAAATAGTTGGTTTTTTATCTTCCTAAACTTATTTTATTGCCAAAATTACAAATTTCGAAAATCATCCCCATTAAAATAACTTCCTAATGAAAAGTTTGGAATTATAGACGATTAATAAAATATAAATAAATAATAATAAATAATAATTTCGAGCCGTTTTGTTTTCTCACTAGCCTTAAGGGTTAGATATTTTTTTGGTGGTTAAAAAAAAAAGCGACGCCTGGGAACACATTTTAATGTCAACAATTAAAAATATTATACATATATTACAAGGACAGTATGCAGCAGTAACCCGAGCTCATCTTTCTTCGCGAACGAACAAAGGGGGTTGGGATAGTATACTACTGGGACAACGAGTGCTCTTGGCCCGCGCACGATACACGATAACGATACCGAGAGCTACGGTAGCATGTCACGCCTCCAACCTCCATCCCCTGGCTCTTTTACCTAGTCTGTTCACCCCCTTACAGTTTTATCCCCCGGCGGGCGCTATTTCTAAACGTCACGCGCGCTTTAATCTTCTTGCACGCCTACACGCGTCGCGATTTTCATATGGACAACCCCGTATGTCCAACGTTCACTTTTTTACACCCCTTCAACTACCTTCAGCTATGTATATCTCGACCTCGTAATAGTGATACTTATTTTACCATTTTTTTCACACACTCATGCTAGTACTTGAGATAATTTTGTAATTAATTCAAGAGTATAATAATTTTTTCAAACATAGCAAGCGTGAGACATGATTCAAATGATTCTGATTTGAATTTAAATGAATTTACGATTATTTTAATAGCAACGATTCATTAAAATAAAGTGGATAAATTTTAAACATACATTTTTGTTTACCTCAAGAGCTATCAAATTGAGGGGTAGTATGTCTAGTGTGAGATAAATCGATCAAGCGCAACATATCATTTGTTTCTGTCCACAACAACACTCAACCAATTTGACTATTAATGTTTTTATATTCTTGCAAGATACGATCCTTGAATGTCACTCTGTATTTATTTATAAAGAGAATTCAGAAGGGATCAGAATACACGGTATGCCAATACTCAATTGAAGCCCTTCTACTCGTTTATCATCGTCTAAGAACCCTATGCTTTATATATCAAAATGTAGACAATTCTCTTTGCACGCTATTGCTACATTCGTCATCAGAGCTAGGGGTGAACGAAGAAATATATATAAATACATATATACCTAGAAAGAATCTAAAGGATGTATGTATGGATTATTTATTAATTTCAATACTTTGATTACAGTTACTGGAAAATATTTAAAATGGTTGAGTGAAATTTTAGTGTAATGTAAAAAAAAAAGATTGATTAAATGAAATGTATTGATAAAAATGATTGGATATAGTGTATTTTGTGTAAAGTATTTGATGAATAGAAATAAAAAAAAAGATAATAATAATTCGCAAAAAATAAAATCAGTATAAAAAGATGTTTTTTAAGAACATTTTTTTGTTCTCAAAACCATCGACTTTGAAGCAAACGGATAGACAGAGATTAAAGCCACGGCCAAAAACACTCGACCGCTATGCGGCAATGTAGGGGATTGAGCGCCCGGTCCACGGCTGATTTCGATTGAATAATTTATGTTTCATTACGGGGGTGCTCGGGCTTATAAGCGCCTTGCAAACGCTGTTCTGTATATTTAGAAAAGCCTGAGTATACATGAGAGTAGAGAGAGAATCCAGTGAATCTGGCAGGCCTTTCACATGCCTATTTCCTATAGGCATTCAAGCCAGCCGAGTGAAAAGAATTTTGTATCGAGGGTATTGAGGCACCGATACTGTACGTTTATTTCCCCTCTTATACTTTTTTGTACTTTTTTCTGGTATCCTCGAGATACGTTTCGTCTCAACTGCAAAATTTTTTCGTTCTATTTAAAAAACATTTTAACCCACTTTTATAGATTTTTATTTTCATCCCTCTAAACTACTTTTAATAAATAAAATATTTTATTTAATCGATATGAATATTTATTAACAAAGAAAGTTGTTTATATTGAATATAAAAAAGACCATAAATATTTTTGGAAATTTTATTTCCATTTTACTGTAGAAAACCTCATTTTTTTAATCGATTAGTCTTGATATTTGATTCCCTAAGGGTAAAAGAGGAATTTGAACACTGGAAGAAAACTTGAAAATCGAGGGTTGCATTATTAAAAAACCACCCCGTGGCGTCTACTAAAAGGGGGGTGGTTGTGTCACCTGAAGTCTATGCAGAGAACATCGAAACACGTCAATAATTTATAATATGACTTCTTCTTCTTCCTTCATCTTTATCATGGAGAAGGAATTGATAGGGATATATGAGGTAGAAGTAGGAGGGTGAGATTGTGTAAGAATAAAATAAAGACAACGATAGAATGGAGGAATGAGAGGGTAAAGAAGATGGGTAAGAACTGCTTTTGACTCGCAAGTTTTTTAATTTGATGCTATTCAATAATTTAACGTGCTTCTTTTGATTTACTGATGTACCTTTCTTACACTTTCTTTAGTGCTTAAGACAAAAATTATTTCAGTTTTCGTACTATTTTTCTTTCATTAGCCATTCGATTATTTTTCAATCATTTGGTTATATTTATTTTTTATCATTTATTAATTATAACTAAATAATTAAACTTTTCAATTATTAGTACACTGACAAAAAATTTTCGCTGTGCAAAAAAATGTTTATTTAATCAATAAAGAGAACTTAAAATGCTTGCAATAAAATATTTTATTGAATTTCATAAAATATATTTTGATATTTGCATAGTAAAAATGAATTTTTTCGAATAATTATTTTTTCATTATTTTTAGTAACCATCAGAACCCATATGGAAAAAAACATTCTTTTTTGAATATAAATTATTTTAAAAATATATAAAAATATATCTTTATAGTCAATTATATAATTATAAATTTTTTTATATTC